ATATCCTGAAATCCGTATGGGAATATCCAGAAATTTATAGGGGGTATCCCCAAATCCGTTTGGAATATCCAGAAATTTATAGGGGGTATCCCCAAATCCGTATGGGAATATCCAGAAATGTATAGGGGATATCCAGAAATCCGTATGGGAATATCCAGAAATTTATAGGGGGTATTCCCCAAATCCATTTGGAATATCCAGAAATTTATAGGGGGTATCCCCAAATCCGTTTGGAATATCCAGAAATTTATAGGGGATATCCCCAAATCCATTTGGAATATCCTGAAATCCATTAGGAATATCCAGAAATTTATAGGGGATATCCAGAAATCCGTTTGGAATATCCAGAAATTTATAGGGGATATCCAGAAATCCGTTTGGAATATCCAGAAATTTATAGGGAGTATCCCCAAATCCGTTTGGAATATCCAGAAATTTATAGGGGATATTCCCCAAATCCGTTTGGAATATCCAGAAATGTATAGGGGATATCCAGAAATCCGTATGGGAATATCCAGAAACGTATAGGGGATATCCAGAAATCCGTTTGGAATATCCAGAAATCCGTTTGGAATATCCAGAAATTTATAGGGGATATCCAGAAATCCATTGGGAATATCCAGAAATTTATAGGGGGTATCCCCAAATCCGTTTGGAATATCCAGAAATTTATAGGGGATATCCTGAAATTTATAGGGGATATCCGGAAATCCGTATGGGAGAATCCCGGGGTTTGGGCGCGGAACGAGCAGGGGAGGCGGGTGGGAATGTGGGGAAACTTGGAGGGGGGTATCGGGAAATTTGTAGGGGATATTCCCCAAATCCGTTTGGAATATCCTGAAATCCATTGGGAATATGTGGAAATTTATAGGGGATATCCAGAAATTTATAGGGGATATCCAGAAATCCGTTGGGAGTATCCGGAAATCCATTGGGAATATCCAGAAATTTATAGGGGATATCCGGAAATTTATAGGGGATATGTGGAAATTTATAGGGGATATGTGGAAATTATAGGGAATATCCAGAAATTTATAGGGGATATCCAGAAATTTACAGGGGATATCCTGAAATCCGTTGGGAATATGTGGAAATTTATAGGGGATATCCCCAGACCCATTGGGAATATCCCAAAATCCATTGGGAATATCCAGGAATTTATAGGGGATATCCTGAAATCCGTTGGGAATATCTGGAAATTTATAGGGGGTATCCGGGAATTATAGGGAATATCCAGAAATTGATAGGGGATATCGAAATTTATAGGGGATATTCAGGAATTTATAGGGGATATCCAGAAATTAGTTCGGAATATCTGGAAATTTATAGGGGATATCCGGAAATCCGTTGGGAATATGTGGAAATTTATAGGGGATATCTGGAAATTTATAGGGGAATATCCAAAAATCCAATGGGAATCTCTCAAACCCTCGGGAAAACAAGGAGAAAGTCCCTGCTCATTCCCAGCGCCCCAAACCCTCAGAAAAACTGGGAAAAACCATTCCCAACACCCCAACCCCTCCCAAAACCCCAGAAAACCCATCCCCAACACCCCAAACCCTCCAAAAAACCCAGACAACCCTTTCCCAACACCCCAAACCCTCCAAAAAACCCAGACAACCCTTTCCCAACACCCCAAACCCTCCAAAAAACCCAGACAACCCTTTCCCAACACCCCAAACCCCCCCAAAACCCCAGAAAACCCATTCCCAAGACCCCAAACCCTCCAAAAACCCCGGAAAACCCATCCCCAACACCCCAACCCCTCTCAAAACCCCAGAAAATCCATCCCAAACACCCCAACCCCTCTAAAAAAACCTGGACAACCCATCCCCAACACCCCAAACCCCCCCAAAACCCCAGAAAACCCATTCCCAAGACCCCAAACCCTCCAAAAAACCCGGACAACCCATCCCCAACACCCCAAATCCTTTGGAAAACCCATGACAACCTCTCCCCATTCATTCCCAACACTCCAAACCCTCCCAAAACCCCAGAAAAC